ATGATTTGACACAAAAGAAGATTAGTGTTAGATCCTGTAAATTCAAGCTATATGTATATATATTTATACATGTATGTATGTAGCTCTGCAACTCCTGTAACCATCACGTAAAAACAAAATTCGGAAATGCAGTAGCTTGGGTTTGTGCTAGCTCTTCCTCAGACAACATGAAGGCCCTACTTAGAAAAAGGGACACTGAGTATTTTCAGAAATTATTTTTATAGGATTTGAGTTTTGGAAATTTGATTTTCTTCCAGATCATAATTTTTCAGGCTGTTTTAGTCCTCTGTTCGGCATTTGAATTGTTTCAAGTGGTGCCTTATATTATGAAGTGAGCATTTAGGATAATTATCAGTATTGTTCAAATCCTAGTGGACGCGTTTTTGGAGAGCCAAGCCTGTAGACTTAAAATATAAGTATTTGTTTGGTGGTGGTATGAATTATGACCCTGGAAGACTAAGACAGTGGACAGAGTTAATGGCGGGGTGATACCTGACCCCTGTAAATATTGCTGGTCCTTCAGTGGAAGGACCTTCTTAGCTACATTGTGGCTGGGAGCCTACCTCAATATAGTGTGTCTGGTGTGGTTTTTCAACATATTCTTCATTGTACATTTAATCTTAATTTAGTGACAACAGACTTGATATTCTCAGTGATGTGATCTGATATACTAGCTGAACTCTTTGGATGGTGTGTTGTGGTGTTAACCTAGAACAGTGGACTCTGAAGCCTTCTGGGAATCAAGTCACAGGCTTTCTTGAAGCTGTAGCTTGGGTAATGTGTGTACACACCATGTGAAAAGCCTGACACATCCTCCCAAAATGGGTTTTGGCATTCCTTTGAGTAGAGGAACACAACGCTCAGACAACAAAGAAATGGCTGACAGTGCAAGAGATATGATAAAGATATGGATCACAAGTGATAGTTCACAAAGCATGGTTTCTTGGAGGATCTTGCTGAGAAGACAATGTAGGAGACTTGGAAAACAAGGGTGTAAATGTCAGGCTTCATGTAAAAGTTTCAAAACAACAAAGCTGCTGTCTCATCCTAGTTGTAAGAAGCAGCTTTGCTTTCTCTTCAGTAGTTCAGGAGAAGTATCAATACAGTGCATCTATGAAGAGAACAGAGTGACTGTGAAGACACTCCTGTTGCAGTTTGTAGAACAAATAATAGAAAATAGTCTGGGCAGTTTGGAAATGGTTGTATGCCAACAGGAATACATGCAAAACAAGGACAGAATTGTCTGAATTCAAGTCATTGCTCTGCTTGAAATTTTGGATTTGTAGAAGACAAGAAGATGATCAAGTATGTCAGTAGCTTCCTATCATAACTAGTATGAAACCATGCTGGTAACATAGACAGTAGGTTTGTGATTTAATGATTAATTGGGCAAAATACAGACTCAAGGTTTGTTCCTTTTGGTACCTTACTACCTGAAGAAAATGTGAAGTTGTAGCTGTGAGATTTATTTATTTATTTATTTATTTGTTCCCACCCCCCCACCTTTAGGTGGGTTACCCTTATCTGTTTCAAATACCTCTTTTCATCAGAAAATGGGCAGTGAGAATGTCTGGAAATATTTTTAAATTTAATTTAGGATTTACTATAACTAATGCGATCTATGAATGAGTTTAAACAATATTCCATGTATTTGCATTGTGTATTTCCAATTTTAAAAGGAATATAATTTTGTAGTTGCTCTGCTTATGCTAACTCTACCTGTATCAAATGCCAGGGCTTAATGAAGCATTTAATGTTTACTCTATTTGACTTTTGAATGAATTCAAACAATTTTTCATGTACTTGCATTTTATATTTTGTAAAAAGATGGTTTTCAAATACTTACTTGTGTAGGACTGTCATCTCTCTGTGTTAGTTCAAATACCAGTGTTCATGGAATCTCAATGTAATTTGTAAAGAGCATGCAAGTTCTGACTTATGAAATAATGTTTGAATTCTGTCTTGGCAACGGGCATTTTATTACCATTAATTTTTTTATGCAACTTCAGCAGTTGATGAAGATCCACATCCCTAGGGACTGCTATCTCCATCTTGGAGAACCTTCAAGACCCCCTGAATGCCCATTCTGCAACCCATGCATCCTCCTATAATTGTGGAAATAACCTGAAGGAAAAGTCCATGTTGTGAGATAAAAAAGTGTAGTTTTGGTGTTCTCTTGCTGTGGAGTTGTGTAATAGTAACTGTCTTTAATCTCAACGTGTTTCTACAAAACCTTCATATGTAGTGCTCCTTCTCTCTTACTAGACCCTGGTCAAGTTTTGATAGACTGACATACCGGCAGACCAAAGGTTCTTGCATCAACAGGAGAGAAGGGCAGCAAATGCCTGGTTTGCTGTCATTTGTCTTCCACCAAGCAAATACAAAGCGATTCCTTCCACCATACTTGCTGCCTTTTTGCAGGCAGCTCTTAGGCACTTTAACTAAAAAGTGGTGGAATTTAAAGCAAGAAAACAGTATTGATGTAATAGTTGTGAACGTTGAATATAGTGGCATCTTCCCTTGAGAAATTTGTATTAACTTGAAATAAAAGTACTCTGAGGACATAAAATGTCTTGCCCTTAATTTTAGCTGGCATTAGTGCATTAAGAAACTCTTCTGGGATATTTAGGAAACAAGTCAAGTCCTTTCTTAGTCAAAATTGATAGGCTGAATTCTGTGATATTTTATAGTGATGCAAAGCTTGTTAAGAACTGGGCTTAGCTGGTGAAGCTTTTAAGCTTACTGGTTTGAGGGATGTTAGAGAACATTTTTGGTGGCGTAGACCTGGTTCTTACTCCTTTGCTGGGCACATTTTGCTTTCAGTTCTCAGACTTAAGTTGTGCAGCTGGTACAAAGATTGTTTTCAGTAACTAAAGCTGCAAGAGATCAGTACTGTTTTAGCAGCAGTTACAACTACTGATGGTTTCACTGAGAGTTCTCCAGGCAGCAGGGAATTCAGATTTTTTTGTTATCTCTTAGAAGTCTGAAAGAGATGGAGAGCTTTTGGTGCTGGAGGACAGTTATGGGCGCAGTTCCATAGGGGAATGACTTATTTCCAGCTGCACAGGGTTTTAATTCTGGTTTGTGACTGAGGGGTGTATGTTAGCTGCCCAGTATCAGCAGTTTGGCCATGACAACTACCTCTAAATAATAGTTTTCACAGGACTTCTGTCTCCATTCTCTTTAAAAAAGAGTAGGTGTAAAATATAAAGCAAATCTGCTTCATGGTAAATATGTAATTGAGAAGAAAGGACATTCTTGTCAGAAAGGAATAGTTTTTATGTCGTTCAGTACTGTGCCAGATAAACTGATGGCCCCTCATTTGGTTGCCTTCCTGCTGTGGGCTCATTCAGGTCACCTGAAGTGTACCCTTTGACTTCTCTAAGGAGTCGGTGAAAAGTAACAGGACACACATTCAGCCCACACTTTCAATGCCTTCCTCTCTCTGTTGACTGGATGAAACTTCTCTGTCCCCAAAGGAGAAATTGGTCTGAAGTTCACCATCTCTCCCTTTCCTTGAAAGAGAAAGGGAGAAGGGGAAGCAGGGTGGGTGAGGTTGACTGGAATGACTCACCTCAAAGGATTAAGCAGCTCTGCAAAGTGGGCAGACTGCTCGTATTTAGGGATTTTGTTGGATTTAGGTACAAACATGACTGAGGTTTGGGTAAATGACATTCCACTCTATTATAGAGGACACCCAGTTTTCACAGGGGCTGTGAGATTTGTTTGTTTGTAGATACGTTTCCAGGGAGGAGTGAACAAGAGGGCATAATTAAACAAAGAAAAAGGAAAGTGCTTGTGGAAATCTACTTGGTATTACATGCTTTGTCTGTATTGTTTGATTTTACTCTTGTTTTCCTAAGAATCCACAGTGTATCTGGTTACCTTGTTTCTCGAGTCCTCCCTTGTAAAATCTCCTTGAAGCTTTTTGCTGAACTTCAACCACATCTGAAAGAGGGAAGAGCATTCAAAATTATTAAGTACTTACAAACTTTGATGAAAGCAGTTGCAGGATGTTGGAGATGCACAAAACCAATTTCTGCACTGTAGCAAAGGTTGCTGTAAAAACTCACATTCCTGGGAAACTGGGCTTTATTGCTTCTGCTTGGCTTTATTCTTTGTCGCTCTTCTAATTCTACTGTAAAACCCCTTTCCATATTTGTAAATCTTGTGAATAAATAACTTAGAGTTAAATAACTGACCTGTTATATAAAGGTGAAAATAGCTAGTGCTCTTATGTTAGATGAATGCAAATACATGTTACTTTGTTGTATGAAGCTCTGTGCGGTCCAAGGCTAGAAGAAAGCTGGTCTGCATGTATAGATGTGAATGAAGAGCTGTCTTGAAGAAAATGCTGACACTGGTTGACCAGAGAGGTGTTTGCCTTAATGTAGAAACCTGAAATTGGGTGTTTGTTCAAAACCTGAACAGCTCAGAACTGTAATAGCAATCTTCTGGCCTTCATAGGCTTCAAGAAATGTTTTGCACAGGGTTCACATGCTCTAAAATTTAAGACATGACAATTACATTTCCAGCGCTGTAACTGAGACAAAAATCATAGTGAGTTCAAAGAAAAACAGGGGATGATTTATTTCATTAAAATTTTCTCATGTGGATTAATTAACTGAGATCTGGCAGGCTTTTTAAGATTCACATGTTCTTGTTATGCTCTTAAATTGACCTTCCTAGTTGTTTTTAGGAAGTGTACTAAATGAGTATAGCTGACCAAGTCGAGTCTTTACTTAACCCAGATTTTGGTCATGATTTTTTTATGAAGATCAGTACATGTGAGAAATACTGTAGCTGCTGTCTGTTCTGTCTCCTGTGGCAGTGTTTAGGGGTTTGTTTTTTTTGTTTTAAAGTTTGTTTTTGTTTAAAGATGTGGAACTACTGGTTCAGAGATTCCACTTACATGCACACGGACACATGTATAAGATACCATGTTCAATTTATTTCTGTATTTGTAGGGTTTTGGTTTTATGTTCTTAATTTCTTTTTAGCGGACATAGCTCAGAGATACAGGATAAGCAAATACCCAACCCTTAAACTCTTCCGGAATGGAATGATGATGAAGAGAGAATACAGGGGCCAGAGATCTGTGACAGCAATAGCAGATTATATCAGGCAGCAGAAGAGTAACCCTGTTCGGGAGGTCCAGGATTTGGAAGAAATTAGTTCTCTTGATGTAAGTCTTTCAATTTTATTCCTTCTAAATATATTCTTATTCTTTTTTTTTTCTTTTGAATGTTAAACTGGTGAAACATAATGTATTCAGAGTACATATATACTACTTTTTTTTTTTCTATTCAGAAACTGAGTGGAAAACTGGATCATTTCCAGTATTACAAATTATTCCAATATAATCACTTCCAACTGCATTTGTTTTGTTACAATAACTCCACTACCAAATTACTTATTTTACTTTTCATCATTTGAAAAGAAACATATGTTGTATTTGACAAGATACTTCTAATATTCCTCACTGGAAAAATATTCACAAGGATGCTTCTGAATATTGAAAAGGCAGAAAAGAAATAACTTCTCCACAGTTATCGACTGTTGAATTAATGGCACCTCTGCATTTAATATCCTTAGGGAGTAATGATAGTTTTTGATAATTTGAGGTAAGTTATAATTTAACCTTTATTTTTACAGCGCAACAGAAGAAATATTGTTGGGTACTTTGAGCAAAAGGACTCTGACAATTACAGAACCTTTGAAAGAGTAGCGAATATTTTGCATGATGATTGTGTATTCCTGTCTGCCTTTGGGTAAGTTTTAAAATTTGTTGATTGCAAGACTTCATTAATGAAATTATGTTAATGAGTTGTGTATAATTTAATTGAATAGCCTTCTTTAATACATTCAGTGTGGCATAACTGAAGAGACTAGACCTTAACATATAAATACACTGAGAAAAGGATAGGAGAAAACTCTTCCTAGCCTTAATGTTTGCTGTGGAATCCAGCTTCATTTTTTGCTTCCTTTTTCTTTTTTTCACTCTCTGTCAGTACAGTTTAAATGTAATTGGAGGGGGGGGGTGGTTAGAGGGGGATGCTAGACAGTTGTGTCCCAAAAACCTGCTTCTTTGGAAGGAGAGAGGAACAAGTAGAGAGGAGTTTGAAAACTTTTTGGCAAAAATCTTGTTAGCTTTGCAGAGTGAGTAACTCTCTTTTTGCAACATCTTAATTTTTTTTTTTTCTTTAAAATATGACCATTTTTGGTAGGGGTTTTTTCCTTCCTTTTTTTCTGAAAAGAATGATTCAGTAGTTGTGTTTTCATTTCCTTTTGATGTTGGGAGAGAGGACCTTGTTCCAAAGTGCCTGATTTCTGTGCCTGGGTCTGTTTCGTGCCAGTTCTGTGTCACTCCACAGGGTAACGATTTAGAAAGGAAATTGCATTGATGAGATACATAGTGTGAGTCTAGAAGAACAACCTACAGAAATTCAAATTTCTCCTTGTTATACAGATTTACAGCGATATTTTTAAAATGTTAAAAGATCTTCACTGAAAGAAGAATAAATTGGGTGTGAGTGATTCCCTTTTTAAGTAGCATAATAAAATGCAATTATAGATTCATTCTGCAATGTTTAATGCGCTAGCACCACCCAATTTAAAGTGATTGGGCATTAATGTGAATGCAATGGTTTGCAGTCTACCCACAGTTACAAGATCAGGAATTTGCATGGGTTATACTAGCTTTTATACTGTATACAGTTGTCCTAAGAGTTTTTTGAATTGGATGTAGTGAAGAATAGCACAGAAACTGAGAGGATGTATCAAGGTAGAAAATGTTTCATCTCTTTGAACAGAATTTGGTGTCAGTCACTGGTTACCCTTCCAAAATGTCTCCTAAAAAAAGTTTGGGGGTGGAGGAGAGTATTTGTAGTGTGCAGGAGTACATGTGGCTTTCCTTCAGTTCCCAATTAGGTATCCTATGACTGTGTAAGCAGCCTTGGCCATGAGAGAATAATCAAATCTTGTAAATCTGTGGTCTGTAGGTTTGTCAGTCTTATCCCTAAAGAGTGGCCATTCTCTCAAATGTTTTCTGATGAGTGCATCCATGCTTGTTCTCAGGGCAGCCAGTCTGAGTTGTTATTAGAGTTTTAAATGATTTTTTTTGCCCCCTCCTGTGACCTTTCATTGTTTTCAGGTTTTTTTTTTAAAAAATCATTAGCAAGATAACAATACTTTTAAGATCCTCTCTCCTGTTGTTTGAGTCTGTCTTTGGTTTGCTATTTGTCAACTTCAGATAATGAGAAATAGTCTCCCACCACTCGGTGTTAGCATTTGGTTGTTGGATGCTGTTCTTGAAGTAGTAACTATGGGCTTTTTTTTTCTTTAGATATAAGCAATAAGCAAACATAATGGAACAGATCAGAGTTTGATTATTTGTAACTTGCCCATGTAACTACAGATTGCACAGCAGGTTTATCGTTATTCTCTTCTCCAGACTCCCATTCCCTTTCTAGCTTGTAGCTGTTAGTGTTTTAAAGTGCTGCCTTCCAGACAGCGACCTTGGAAACTAAATGTTTTCATCTCTGAGTGGCTGTGGCTCTCAAGCTTTCTAAAAAACTACATGTGAAAAGACTTCCAAGAGAGATACTGGCTATATAAGTGTTTTCTATTCAGATTATATATAGCAAAATGTTTCGTGGGGAGCTGGCATGATCAGTCGAACTCTTCTGACTGAGCATCCTAACAGCCCCTGGAAGGGATTCCTGGTTTTGCTCTGGACAGAGTTCAACAGGTATATGGTTTGAGGTATATGGTAACACAAGCTGTCGTGTTCAAACTTCTAGTAAGCTAAAATAAACTCAAAACAATCAATTTGACAGGAAAACATTAATTACTTTGCTAACTTCTGTCATGGCAGAACTGTTCCATGCTATGCCAAAATAATTCTGGCTTTGCATAGTTGTAATAGCTTATTTTTAAACTGTATTAGTGGTACTTAGTTGCAGATCATCTTGGTGCTTAAAACTATTCTTAAATCAACTGATCCTTACAGTTTTGTTAAGATCTGAGGTGACCACAGACCAAGATTAATGAGAGACTTATAAGCAGAAGGAGATAGGAGGGATACTGATGAAGAGATTATTAGAGGTAGATTTTAGAAGCAGAACTAGAGAGGGATAAATCTGAAATGTTTGTAGACATAGAAGGGCCTTGTGCCATCAAGCCATAGCATAGGAAGCCAAATGCATAAAACCAAAACAAACAGCTTAAAAGTACTTTTATCTTAAGAGGCTATGATGAACTGTAGGTAACTCATGAAAGAGAGTGACAAATCTAGGAACTGTTTTAGTTTTATGTTAGCAAGCAAATGGGGAAGGGGGGGCCTGCTTCGAAGAGGTTCATCTTCTATGTTACTGCTTCAAGAAGAGACAAAATGCAAACTGAAGTGTTTCCATTTTGGTAGTTGTTTTAAAAAGGTGTATCTTCAGGTGTTTGGAATTTTCACATCATGTCCCCACTTTGAGTTACCTAAAACAAATCTGTCACAACTGCAGCTACTGAAGTGGAAGAACACAGAAGACGACCTTTTGGGTTCCACCACAGGCTTACCCTAGAGCATATATTTCATTATAGATTATTATCAGCTTACCAAGCAGTGATTGAGCAGGTGGCTTCTATGTCTTCGCTTTCTTCTTATTCAGTGAAGGGTTGTTTGGGGTGCGAGTGGTTTACCTCAGTGATGACGGTCACAAAGAAGCCTAATTTCACGTTATGGGAGCAGTCATCATATCTGGAATACAAAAACACATTTTAAACTGCTTGTCTCTAAACTGTTGCAAATACTGATAGGTGTAACATACTATGCAAGATGTCTTTTGTGTGTGGTCAGAAAAGTATAATTGGATCAAATGAAGTAAATAAAACGTAGGTACTTTTGGGTAAGCCTTATGATGTCTTTTTTTTGGCCCTCTAAATTGTTCAGACCCCTGGAAGATTTACCTCGAGTTGCAGTGAAATAAATTGAGATATTTTTACTTCTCTTTTTTCCTCCCCCTTACATCTCTCAATCAGTCTTCACCAATGCTTGTATTAAGTCCACAGAAGAGGTGCTATAATTGAAGAAGCTGGAACACTTGGCTAATGTTTCCCAGAGGCTGACATGCTTTCTTTTTAGCCTATGCTAAAAGGAAAAGAAATAGGTAGTTCATTTTACTCTTTTGTGACGTATGCAGCCAGTCAGCTCTGTCTTGCCAGCATGAGTTACATTGGAACGGCAAGGCATGGGAGAGAAGGGGAGAGGAGGCCTCTTTCAATATCTGAAGGTGGTGAAAGGATTTATTTTTGTTGTGAACTTTCTTTCGTTATTTTTTCGATCTCCTGTGTTGAATGCCAAACTGTCCCCATTTGTTTGAATAAGAGATGATAATTTTTGGGGTGCAAGCTAGCAGCTTTCAGGGTGCTCTGTTGTGACTGGGAGTAAGGAACCACAAAATACTCCAGAGGCAGGGGAGGAACTTGCAAAGGTGACATAGTAAACTGAATACCAAGGAGGAGCTACATGTGTTCTCCAGGTATACACATACCATATCATCAGTGGTCAGAAACTGCATGCTGTGTCTTGTGCTCTCTAGATCTGTTTCGAGGGTAAAATGGACAGTGTGGCCTTATTCGTTATCCATTTTCTCATTGCTTGTGCTGGTGGAGCACCTCAAAGCCCTTCTTTATCAAGGTAGATAAGATGTAAATTTCTAGAGTAAACAGTGGAACAGGAAGAGTAAATGCAAACGAGAATCCACCTTTCTCTCCTTCCTTAAGCATAGTTTTGGGTGTGTTTTTTTTATTTATTTTACATGATTATATTAATTCATTAACATTTTCCTCTGATGGTCTCTTTGCAAAATTGTCCCAGCATTCATCGCTTGCACTTCAATGCCTTTAGTCCACACTTCTAATCTTAGGGATACGTCTTGCTGACTCCCTTAATGCCCTCTTGTCTAGCCAGGCCAAGTTTCTGTGGAGTCACTTTACAGTTTACTTTGAAGATCAAGGATTTTAATTCTCAAATTTTGAAGGAAAAGAAGAAGTAAAGAAAGGATAGGAAATGAAAACATGATTTTTGGTATCTCAGTTATTTTATTGGTCTGTACCAAGACATGCTTACTGGTTGGTTTGTTGTAGGGCTATTTCAAAAGCAGAGAGATTTAGCGGAGACAATGTAATCTACAAGCCACCAGGGGTAAGTGTAACTATGTATTTTATTCTGCTTATTGTCATTATATGTGAATATGAACAAATTGAGACTGTATTAGGATCATTCAGCGGGTTACTGTATCTCAAATCTTAATTTTATTTCATCACTAAATAGTGTGAGAAATAGGAACATAGGAACTGGTGTTTCTGAGTCAGTGAAAAAGATCCAGATCTCATTTGTTGCCAGTTAAGTGCACAAAACCTAAATCTGTCATTTTAAATGTCAATGTCCAGAATTTTTTTTTTCTTAAACACAGTCAACTCATCATGTGTATAGATACTTTGTATTCTGTAGAAGTCTTAAAAATCTGTGTTCAACAGCTAGTGCGCTTCGTGTTTTTTGAAGCAAGTGACAATTACTAAGTATTTTTCTGTCATTTCTGTTATTTGCATGTCTTAGCCCACAAGGGTTAAGAGCTGTTCTCTTAATTTAAAAAGAAAAAAAGGAATTAGTAAAATTAACTGTATGTTAACGAACTCTAATAAACGTAGTTTTACTTGAGGAAAAATTCAGTACAGAAGAAAATCTGCAAGAATTGCTTTTTAGAAACATAATTAATATCTGAAAATCTGCTCCTTTCTCAAATGTAATGTATAAAAAGAGTTGCTTACAAAAGAGAGATAAATAAAAAAAGACCGGGGGGAGGTGTGTGAATTTCAAACTTTTGTCTGCAAAAATATGATTTATTAGGTTACCTAATTTATATGGCATTTCTGAATTAAGGTGTGCTTAATCGTGGCCACAGCTTGCGAAGTCATGCTTCACTTCATGTTAACCAAAATTGTAATTACATTAAAAGATGGCAGCACTGAATTCTGAGTTAAAACTACTAGCAAATTAAGGAAAACTATTATTTATTCATATCTCTTTGGCAAAGCAAATGTAAAATACCAGTTCGAAGTCCTGTAGGACATTAGGAAGTTTTTTTTGGTGGTCTTTGTAACTCTCAGTATGAAGGAGCTTAATATTTGCATTTCGTTTATATCTAAATGGGTTTTTTAAGTATGGAGATACTATTTCTCAACCTAACAGAAGTCTAAAAAAGTCTAAAAAGCCTTTATTTGAAGCATCCCTGATTTGGAAACAAAGTATCTTTTAAATTCTTATTAAGTTGTCTTAAAAAGTGGAGTTAACTGCATAAATGATCCTATATAATACTTATTTTCCTCTTGTACTTTTGTAACATAGTTAGTACAAATGTTGCATGCATAAGGGTTGAATATTAGTATAAGATTGGCTTTCAATATCTATATGGATATTATTACTTTATGTCAGATAGGTAATCTTCTTTGTAGGTAGCAATGTCATTTTTACTGTTTCTCAACTAGTATATTTTTCTTTTCAACAGGAAAATGCTCCAGATATGGTATATTTAGGCTCGCTAACCAATTTTGATTTAATTTATGCATGGACACAAGATAAATGTGTACCGCTAGTTCGAGAAATTACGTTTGAAAATGGAGAGGTAAGAATTTTTTCTACCATTCTACTTTTGGGGTTTCTTTCTCAAACCCAAAATGTCTCTTTCAAGGTCTCTAGTCCATGCCAAAGAACTTTATGCATTTTTTTGCGTTTGGCAGAAAATAGCTGTCAGATAATGTCTTTTTGTTCTTTTGGAGCTTTTTGGTTAGACTTGAAATTCACTGGAGGCAGATTTGTAATAGTTCCGTACACTACCGAAGAGGTTATAGTCATGCATATAGATCATGCAAGAAGTGTCTGGTGATTTGTGGAGTGTGGACACTTGGATGCTAAGAGTATGCGTGTGTAAGAATGTGTGTGTCTAAGTACATATGGGTGTGTAACACCTTGGGTAGGTTATATTATTCATCTGAAGTAAGTACATATTATTTGTACAGATGTTATGACTAAACGTTGATTTAAGATCCAGACATAAATGTTATTTATGTGCTTTTTGCATCTATTATGACCTTGAAAAAATGCTTCTAGTCAGGGTAGAAAATACTCATGTCAGCATGTCCATCAGAGTTTGAAAGAGTAAAGTAGTTGTGAACTATCCTTTAGTTATAATCAGCTTTTAAAATTTAATGTTAAAGTAAGTAGTAGAAAAAACGTTATTGTATTAACCACTTCAGAGCATTATCTAATAAATAAGTACATTAAATGGTAGCCAACCACCTGTGGAATCACCATTCTTCTGGGAATTGTAATAAAAAAACATGTGATGATTTATTTTTTTTTGGTCGTCAATCTGTGTCTAAACACTGGTACCTTCTTAATCTTTTTAGCTCCCCATGTTTTTTTTTTCCCTTGGGTTTCTTCTTTTAGCTGTAATTCATAAGATGGAATTTGGGGGTTTGCTTTTAAACATCTCTTCTCATTATCCTGAGGTTTAACAAGGCCAAGTGCAAG